AACAAACAGATCCCCGTCAGACGCTAAAAGGACGGCAAGCCCCCTTCTCTCCGCCAGTCGGGGGCTTTTGTTTTTGACTAGTCTCGCCCTAGTGCCTCCAGTCCGTGGCCTCCCTCGATTGGACTCGCCGCCCACTGTTCAGCCCAGCAAATTCCTCTTGATTGTGTACATGGTAGACGTCCAGGCATCCAGGAGGCCTAGAATCGGCCCTCGGATCGCCAACGGCACAGCATTTGACTTGGTACAGTAGAGCAACGGAGAGGGCCTGTCCATTTTTGTCTGACACTGTCAAGGCAACACTTCTCAAAACCACACTCTACTGCCTGGGGGAGGGATGCATAGGCAAGAAGAGATGTACCTGTCAGGTCGATCGCTTAAAAGTATCTATCTTTTTCCTCTCTCTTGATCGATTCCCGGGAGGGGGGTTCGCTACCTTGTCCTGCTCGTCTCAAGCCACGACGCAGCTGCTGCCAATCTTTTGGCCCTTTTCTCCTGTGATCTGATCCGGGCTCTGTCCGTACTCCGCTTCGTGTCTTGAATTTCACCTGCAGCTATGGATACCAGTAGCTCTGCATACATACATACATGTCCACGTACGTTCTCCCTCACTCTCTCACGCACTGGCATGGTCTGCTGCGCGGTACGCTACAGGACACAAGCCCATAAAAAAAGACAGCAGCTCCCTGGCTCCAGTTCTCTCGAGTACCTGACCCTGTCTCCATCTGGTCTGGTCTCGCCTTTTGGTCTCGTCTGTCTCTCCTGCTCCGCAGTGGCCCACACTCCCGGCTCCGCGCGCTGCATCTAATCTGCATTCTCGCATCAACGAGCAGGAAAGAGTACATTGAGCGACAACCTCTCTGCCTCCGTATGTACCCTTTACCCTTTTTTTTTTTTTTCCTTCCCCTTCTCCTCATCACGTAGTTGTCCGGTGCGGGTGGACATTCACAATGAACTATTCGTACGACAGCATCAGATCCACGTTTCCACCCTGGCGACCGGGCCACGCTGTCTTTCCTTTACTTGCCGCCAAACAGCAAGCAAACCGCACGAAAGGGAGCACCCCTGATCCCAGCACCGTCGTCCTGTCGTGTGGTATATGGTAGGCGCGTACGGAGTACTCTGTACGCTAGGTATTTCTGGTATTGGGACTGGAACTATGGTAGAGTCGACCTTCAGGAGTTGGCAGATCCAGCTTACCATCCATGGTCTCTTCCAGTGATCTTCCAGTGAGCTGTCCTGAAGTAGACTGCATCGTCGGTCTTTGCGTTTGATGTCTTGACGTCCACCCTACGAGGCTCTTGTGAGTATGATTCTGGGATTGGATGACATTGCTTGGTTTTTAGCGATGGACCTGTCGTAGGCAACTTTTGCGTCCCTGTACCCGTCATGCTCGTTTGCCCTTTGCCCTCTGCCCGTTGCCCTTTTTGCCCTTTTGGCTTGCCCTACTTGGACTAAGGTAACCCGAGTCTTGGTTTGGTACAATTGCAACATCGACATTTCTCCCTGTCGTGCCTGTGGCCTGCCGCCAGAGGCCAATGGCAAATGGCCGTCTCATTCCTAAAGAGACTGAGACTGGCCGCACCCATCATTCTCAGACTCACTCTGTTTATTATCTGGGGACCACGCCTCACTGCAGTTTCCTCTCGTGCTCTCTCTCTCTCTTTAATTATCCTGCCTGCATCGTCCGCCCATTTAACCTTTTCATTTTTCCCGTCCGTCCTCATCAAAAACGTTTTACATCCTTTCACTATTTTCCTTCTTGCGTTTGTGTGTATGAGTGAGAATCTATCTCGCTATTGCCGGCCTCAATTCTTTTTTTTTTTTTTTTTTTTTTTTGTACTTGGCCGCCGCCAGACATCACCGTCCTCATCTCTGTCACCCCTTGGGCATTTTATTTTAATTTTTCTTTGAATGGGGAAGAGATAAATAAGAGGAAGCAAACAAAAAGTCAAATACCCAGCAAGTAATTACACTCAGTACACGCACGCACGACACGTATTACACCTACATACCCTACCTACCGAGGTACCTACGACAGACCCGCTCAACCAGACAGATAAGCACACACGCGACACACTGCATACACCATTCGTCCCGACTTATTCGACGTTTCGAACTCCCCAAGGATTCTATTTTGTACATGCCCCATCGCCGCATCTAATCAACTTGCTCTCCTGTTATTTTGGTCATTGCTTCCCTCTGGACCCGGGCAACGCTCGACCACCTCGGACTCGACCCCGACTGAACTCGCAGCTGGACGGTGCTCCATAGCCGGGGGCCATCCATCACACCTTTCTCAATCGGGTTCTCAAGCCAACCTGTCAGTCAAGCCAGCAAGAGTCCATCTAGTGGACATAGCTTTCTCCGCAGAGGTTGATTGGACCTCTTCGTTTGCGTTTGTCGATACGAACACAGCCACTAGCAACACCGAGTAGAGAGAGGGGGAGAGAGGGACCCAAAGACAGAAGAAGAAGAGAGAGTACCTCTCTGCATCCAGCTTCGGGTGTACATTGACAAGGTATCTGACCTTGCCTCGGCCTTAGCCCGCGGTCTACCTACCATTAAGTTTAGTACCTGGCTGGACGCACGCATAAACCGTCCATTCAACGCTGCAAACGAACATTAGCTTTTCTTGTCAAGCCGCACATCACTTCATTCGAGGACGAACGCTCTCGCCCGCACACGCCAAAGACACACATTTAATATTTTATTTTGTCCATCACCCTCTTCCCTATCCAGCAACTGTCATAGGGCCGATCTGTCGTCGCCATCTACATTGCCCAGTACAGTTAGTCAGGCTGTCAGCCTTTCTGATTGGTACTCTATTTCTCAAGAGAAGGACGAAAGACAAGAAAAAGAGGGGGAAGAGAACAGACACAAAAGAGGCGAAAAAAAAGGCAACGCATTCAACGACTGCGTTGGGAATTTGCTCTCGTCTCTAGAGACACGAGGCAAAAGCGCAACCAATAACTTGGAGTAAGTGGAATTTCCTTGGGGACCGTTTTCCCCATTTTCATGTGTTTGACAGAAAAATGCGCAAACTATCTCTCCCTACCCCCCCCCCCCTCCCCTGCTTGCCTGCTTGCCTTGCTGCCTCGTGCGCATTCGTTTCTTGTCTGCCTGCGGTAAGGTATAGTGTACCCTATCATATACCGTTTGGCTTGTGAGTCTTGATTCTGATCCTCCCCGTCCCCTCGTGTCCTTTGTGTGTTTGTGTGTGTGTGGGCGTGTGTCTGCTTCTGCTTGCCTCTTTACTCTTGCTCTTGTTTTTTTTCTTCTTGCTTTTTCCCTCTTCTTCCCCTTCTTAAAAATATCCTTTCTCCACTATCGGTTTTCTTACCTGATCGTTGGTCCGTCTCTTTTGGTCAATCCTCTTCCCTAATCCCTCACCATCTTTCGTGCATCACAGCCACCCATCAATCAATCAGGGCAGCCATTCATCTTGCCGTCCAACGTCCGTTCACTTGGCTCCATCCTTTGGCCACAGGACCACCCCCCTACTAGTTAGGGGAGTAGAACAGGACCAGGTGTATGGGGGTAACAGCGCAGGTAACAAGCTCTCCGTTTCCAGCGCCAATGCAACCCCCCCGGTCCTTATCCTTGAATAGCACCACCACCGCTGGATACACCCAAGACAAGAGGACCTCCGTGTCAGCTCCCCCCTTCAAACCACCTCCCGGTCTCCTTCCCCTCCCCTCCGCTTCCGCTCCCCTTCCCCTCCCAGCTCCCAGGGGGTTAGCTTCCCCCGGGTACGGATACACCACGACCCATAGCACAGAAAACAGACAGAAAAAGTGCACCCGATTGCCCCACTGTCACTGGACAAGAGAGGTGCCATCTGCTTCAGCACTCACTCCCCCCTCCCCTCCCCAAGACTCCAAGGGTGTCTCCTCTATATTGGATCGCGCAAAAAAATCTCCTACAAAGTTATTAGCTGCCCGCTCCCGTCTTGTCTTTCGCCCCAGCTAGCAGTGGGCGCTCCATCCATCAGCAACCTAATCAGCCTTACCGTGACGCTTTATTCTCACTCTTTTGCCGTCGCTTGTCCTTTTTTTTTTTTTTCTTACTCCCTAAACACTCCTCTCTCGTCATCCTTACATCCTCCTATCCTCCCTTCCCCGTCCATAACCTTTTTTTTTTTCTTTCTTTTTTACTTATCCTCCCTATTGTGCATATTCCGCCCTCTCACATATCCCCGAACCCACTCTGTATTCTTTTCTTTACAAATAAGGTACTTTGCATTCACCTACTAGGTCGCCTTGCCTTAGCTAGGTACATACCATGACAACACCCTCCACCCTTACCTCATCCCTCCCTCCCTCGCTCGCTCTCTCTCACTCTCTCCCTTCTGCTGTCTAACTTGCTCGCTTTTTCCCCCCCTTCATTACCCATCCCATCTCTTCGTCCTCTCGGTCCGCCCACCCCTCTCCTCCCAGACACTCCCCAACTGTTTTGCTTTGCGCTGGGAACTCCGCCTTCAGTCCGAACTGGTCTCGCTGACGCCGCCGTGCTCCTTTCGTTTAGTTCGCGCCATAGAGAATTCCTGGAGAAAGTCACTGTCGCAAGAAAAAAGTTCACACATACTTCGTATATAATTCACCGGCGGAAAACCCAAAAACCTGCACACACGCACAAAATCACCCGCAAAAGCAGCAAACTATCAAAACCAACTCGGCACCTACAGAGACTATACAGCGCTCTCGACTCCTCCACAAATAGACGGTTCATATAAACCTCGCAACCTCCTCTCTTCTGCCGCACGCAGCTAAAGACGTCCTATTTCTGCACTCTGTGACCCTCAGCGTCCAGTCCAATCACCCCCGACCCAAAACCAGACCCAAGCGAAAACCTTCATTCCCGCAGTCGCAGTTCCCAATTTCGCATCCGACCTCCGGGAGAGAGAACAAAAAAAAAAAAAAAACTCTCGCTCCTTCCAACCTCCGAACACTCGACCGCACTGCGCGAACTGGTTTGCCCTGCAGCAGAGACACCCCGCGACCATGACGACCACCGTAAGTTGTTTCCCGTTTACTCCACGTAAGGTCCGATGGAGTCCAAGGACTCCCGGTTGCGATAATGCGAGCGCGCGGCCGTGTGTGTCAAAGACTGCGCTTAACTAGCGCCATCATGGCCCTTGGTTCGAGTCGCCAGCCCGGCGCTCGGAACTTGGCCTAGGCCTAGCACACTACTCAAAAAAGCTTGCCTCGCACCTTCCACCTTCGTTCCTTCCCGTCCTTCTAGTTCACCGTCCCCATGGCTGCCACATCGCTAACCTGCCACGTTCGACAGGCCCGGCCAGGTCGCTTCCAGAGCTTCCCAGCAATGGCAAACGGACGAGACGAGAAACCGGCCCCCGGTGTTGCCCCTGCCTTTGGTTCAAACCTGTACTCACAAAACATTTGGAACACGACATATGCGGGGCCAGGTAAGAGAGATACTGCCAACACTAGAGGTACGTCACCCGCGGATTCAGGTCCAGTGTTGGATGCACTATTCTCATGATGTGATTTGAGAAGGAGAACTGACACCCGTGGAACAGGCGGCGCCGACGATGCATTCACCACCCAGCCGTCGGGTTCTAGCGCTCTCGCTGCGAACTCGGAAGCCGACACCTGGAACCAGAGCCCCTGGAATCAGGACGGCACTCAGACGCGATCAGCCTCTGGCAGTACGTCGCCGAATCGCACGCGCGATAGCCTACACAACACTTCATCCTTCTTCGAAAACTCCACCATCGGACAGGGACGGAATTTCATCAACGGCCGGCCGAAATCATACTTGGAGGATGACAAGGAGAACACCAGCTTCGGATCCAGCTACAACAGCCCCTTCGATGGCGCATATGCGAGGCAAGAGAAGCGTGGATCAAAAGACCCTGCATTCCTAAACCTAGGTGTGGTGGGTGCTCCCTCGAGAGACAGCAGCATTCCTCCCTCGCGCCAGTCTGATGATTCGCACCACTCACCTCCTGCCTTCCGAGACACCTTTGGCGGTTACGGCCATACCCCAAGCAATTCAATTGCTTCGAACCGCCCCATCCCTGCCCACTCCTCCTCTTTCCCCTCGCAAGCAACCAACAACCGCGCCTTCATGGCGAACAACAGGCAGATGGATGAGTCGGACCTGGCCTCCACATTCAAGAAGTCGCTCACCCTCGACGACGGGTCTGGTATTGCCCAGACCATTGCTGGTGGCGCACCCGGCTTCCAATTCAACCCCGGGTCTCAGCCGTGGAGAGGAGACGTGACTGGGTCGTTCGCCGTGGGAGATGCCTACGCTGATGCCGTGGCACACTACAAGCGGGGCTCGATCAACAGCATCTCTGGCGCCTCTGGCGGCCCGTACCGTGTTGTCACCAGCCCCAAGACATTTACGCCCCAGCCATCTGACCCTTGGAGGCCATCGTCCCGGGACCTGAGAATGGTCCCGGACAGTGACCGCCGGACTCCCGTTCAGCCCTTCATCCAGGCACAAGCACCTGCCTTCTACCCCGGGCCCTACTACAGCCCCAACTTCCCGGGACAGTTCCCTCCCCAGATCTTCGACCCTTACGGAAGACCGCCCATGCCCCTGCCTGGCTATGGCCTCCACATGTCGCCGTACTCCATCCCCGGAGTGATGCCTATCCGTCCCAGCAAGGACCAGGATCCCGGCAAGGGTGTTCGCAGCATGCTTTTGGAGGAATTCAGATCGAGCTCCAAATCTAACAAGCGCTACGAGCTGAAGGATATCTACAGCCACGTCGTCGAGTTCAGCGGTGACCAGCATGGATCGAGGTTCATTCAGCAGAAGCTTGAGACGGCCAACAGCGACGAGAAGGACCAGGTTTTCCGGGAGATTGAGCCGAATGCCATCCAGCTGATGAAAGATGTCTTTGGCAACTACGTCATCCAGAAATTCTTTGAGCACGGCAACCAAGTCCAGAAGAAGGTGTTGGCATCGCAGATGAAGGGTAAGGTCGTTGACCTTTCGATGCAGATGTACGCATGCAGAGTTGTGCAGAAGGTATGTATCGTCTGTCCGCGTCAAGATCATATCAAAGTTTGCTAATGCAGAGTAGGCCCTGGAGCACGTACTCGTCGAGCAGCAGGCTGAGCTTGTCAAGGAGCTCGAGCCCGAAATCGTCAGAGTTGTCAAGGACCAGAACGGCAACCATGTCGTGCAGAAGATCATCGAGCTTGTTCCCCGCCACTACATCGACTTCATCATGGACTCTTTCCGCGGCCAGGTTAGTAGTCTGGCTTCACACATGTACGCTTGCAGAGTCATCCAGCGCATGCTCGAATACGGCACTGAGCAAGACAAGGAGACCATTCTGGGCGAGCTTCACAGCTCGACTCAAGGTCTCATTACCGATCAATACGGTAACTATGTCGTTCAGCACATCATTGAGCACGGACAACCCGAGGACAGGTCAAGAATCATCCAGTTGGTCATCTCCCAGCTCGTCACGCTGTCCAAGCACAAGTTTGCTTCCAACGTCGTCGAGAAATGCATTCAGTACGGCTCCGTGGAGGAACGCAAGGGCATTCGCGAGCAGATTACCTCGCAGACCAGCGACGGTGTTAGCTCGCTTCAGCTGATGATGAAGGATCAGTACGGAAACTACGTGATTCAGAAACTTCTAAACCAGCTTGAGGGCTCGGAGCGCGAGGCTTTCGTCGAGGAGATGAGGCCACAGTTCAACCTACTGCGCAAGACCAGCACCAGCCGGCAGCTCGCGGCCATTGACCGGCTCATCTACGCCACACAGACGCCTCCTTCCAAGTCCGGAGGCTCGCAGGCTGATTCTACAGCGCCCACTCCGGTCCTGACGATGGAGCCGAACAGTCCTCAGAGCAGCAGCCCTCCCAGCACGAACGCCAGCGCTATTGGCGAAGTCGCGGACGATGACAACAAGTCGGGAGCGCCTGGCGGCGTGAGCCTCAAAGTGCAAGTAGAGGAAGCGTAGATGAATGACTCTGCAAACGACCCTTTTCTCGACATGACGGCGTCTATGGTTGTTTCGAGGTGACATCGGACATTCATCATAACAAGACACGGACTAGACGATTCTTGCCGTGAATATTTTTGCCATGATTTAGATCCTGGCCGGTCTCATGTTTCACATGCCATCTGGATATCTCCACCTAATCCCTTGTTTTTACATCTTACTGCTCCCCGCGGTATGCAAAAGAGAAAATTTCACACATATGGCTAGCATGGTCACAAAGGTAAAAAAATTGTTTGGATAAATACTATGGGTTCTTATTTTATTTTATTTTGCCTTGGTGGGGGGGGTGTTATCCAACTTACGGACACGATGTCCCTCTGCTGGTTCTTGGTTATCACTCTGATACTTCGGTTCCTAGTTTTTTTTCGTTTTCTTTCCTGTTACCACCCAATGCCTTGTTTAGGTTCTGTCTTTTCGTTTTTCGTCACTCCCGGATCCACAACTGTTGAGAAATGGAAACAGCTGGGAAGGGGCGCGCGCGGGGGACGCAAGGGGGAAAATTGGCTGAGACATACATATAAAAACACTTGGGGAACTGGTGAAAAGGGGGAAAGCAGATGTTATCAGGGGGCTTTCCGGTTTACCAGGGGCATCTATCTTTTTGGGGGCGGTGGCGGCGGACGGGAACGGTTACTTGGGGGCGAGGTTGAATTTTTTGTCTTCTTGTATTTTATTGGATTTACTGTGTCTATGCGATACCAGTCTTTAGTCTGACGGATGGTAGACCTGTCAATAGACGTGAGAGCACGGAATCACACATTCTTGTACGTTTCAGTGACTGGACACTCTCGCAATAGGAGGGAGCCAAGGAAAGAATGACGGGCGTCCAATAAAGTGCTTTGCAATTGTCAACGTGATGGGCTTGGAATTCGAGGTTGGAATGGTACCGTCGTCGGTATCGCACAAGTATAAAATACAACACAAACCAAGGGAGGTTTACTTGACGATACGTTGTGACCTGGAAGGAACGTGGTTAGTGAGAACGCCTACATGAATCGGCGAGGTGTACTACCGTTCGTTCACTTAGCTAATCGGCGGCAGCCATTACATCATGGTGCCGATATTAAGCGACGGGCCGGGCAGGGCATATCTGTAAGTTTAAAGCTCCTCCTCCGACATTGGCCCCAAACCACCCCCCTGTGGCCCGCTGCCCACAATCCCCCACCCCACTTTGTCCCAGGCAATCTTATCGTGGGAAATTGTCGGCTGTCACATCCGCACCCACCACCGCCCCCCAAGTCGACATCATCGGCACTCTCCCCCGATGACCATTCTTTCTCTTTCCCTCCCTCATCCCGTCCAATTGTGCAACACCGATGTGGACACTTCGCGACGATGTCGACTACGAGATTGACTTTTCTCTATCCGCACCTCTTCCGGACCCTTCGATCGGCCGATTCGACGGCGTCGAGAGCAACCACGACGACGGCAACATGCCGAAGACGGACTGCTGCCGAGGTTCGGAGTAGGGGATACGCCGCGTTCACGCCGACGCAGGGAGCTCAGCAATCCGGTTTTGCGCCTCGACACGGGAAGGGCGTCGAGCCGTTGACGGCCGACGGCGCCAAAACACGCAGAACGACGTCGCCGCCGACGCCAGATACATCCGACCCTGCTACTGCTGCCACTGCTGCTGCTACTACTGCTGCTGCCGCCGCCGCTGCCTCGGCTTCCACATCCGCTACGCAGACCTCTTCTGCATCCGACACGTCGAAACCCAGCGGCGGCGGTGGTGGTCAGGAAGGAACAGCGCAGCAGACCGGCGAGGAGCAGGAGGCGGACGAGGCCAAGGCGGCGAAGCAGGAGGCGCGCGACCAGGCCAAGAAGAGCGGGCCGCTGGAGGCGATCCTGCACATGGGACCGCCCGAGGAGGCGGCGAAGCAGCACCCGCACATGTCGCCGCCGCCTTACGTGCACCACTTTGACAGCTACTCGCTGGTGAAGCAGCTCGCGGGCGGCGGATATACGGGGCAGCAGGCGATCACGGCGATGAAGGCCATCAGGGCTATTCTGGCGCATAACCTTGACGTTGCGCAGGAGAGTCTGGTCAGCAAGAGCGATGTTGAGAATGTGAGTTTTTTTTTTACCTCCTGGTCCGTGGTGGACGTGTTTTTGGGTCTGCCTCTGTGTGTGTGTGTGTGTGTGTGTGTTTGTGTATGGTGATGCTGACTGAAGGCTTTTGCAGGAGACGTACCTCTTCAGAGCTGCCTGCTCGGAACTCAGTACCGAGGTGAAGAACAACCAAAAGTTGGCGGACGAGGAGATGAGGCAGAAGAGGACGCATCTGCAGCACGAGGTGGATATACTCACGCAGTCGCTCAACCAGGAGCTCCTGACGCTGAATGATAACGTTCGGGGGATGTTTAATGACCGCAAGATGGCGGTTAGAGAGGAGCAGAAGGCTGGTGATAGTGTGGTATGTATAATCCCCCTCTTGAGCTTCGCCCCCTTGATCCCCGGCGTACCGGTTGCATGTCTCAATGTCGTACTAAAGACGAACAGATTCAACAAATCAACTATAAAATCAGCCTGCACCTCAGCAGCGACGCCAAATCCGAGATCGAGAGCCTCCGGTGGATTCTCATCAGGCGGTCCGTCATCGGCATCCTGTTCATGGCGATCTTGACGCTCGGCACGCTGCGGTACGGCACGTACGTGTCCCACGAGAAGCAGAAGGAGGCGGAGCGGATGAAGAAGCAGGCCGAGCTTATCAAGATGTCGCACGGGACGACGGATCACAGCTCTGCGCCTGACGCGGCGGAGATTTTGGCCGCGAATTGAGGGTCATGCGGCAGGAGAACATACCCAAGATGAGGGGGGAATCGCAAGTGTCAAAGATATTTTGAGAGCGCGGGATGAGATTTGAAATGTGACAATGTTTGTCACCGTGACTGGGATGATACCCTATAGAGACATCAGGGCTGGCCCCCGGACCCCCGAGATAGACTACGACAATCCAAGCAATTGTTCCTTTGTGCCATCGCACTTGCCAAGTCCTCAAGACCAGCATTGGCTAACAGAAATGAGGATGAAGGGAATTTGAGTCTCAGAGAAAGGTCATCAGCAGTTCGAGAAGCGCTGAAGAACTTGGCTTAGGTGGGGGGGGCGACCAATCACTATCTACGTGGCAGACGCAGCAAGCATTACCCGTCGTTCATGAAGCCTCATCAGTTGCCTCGTGGTAATTGAGAGGTTGAAGCGCGACAGGGCACGTCATGCATCTGGATCAAATGGACAAAAGACGCTGTCCAATTATAGCCAACCCGCCTCGTCCCCGCGGCCCTCCCCGCCTATCACAACTCTCTCCCCCGAGATGCTCCCCTGCCCCGTCGATGCATGGCACAGGTGGTCCCAAACGTGGGTGAGGTGAGCCAACGCACACTTGCAGTGCAGGCCCGCTCGCATTCTCTCTAGTTTTACCAGTTATATGGGACGGATATCGATCAGTGCAGCTGACTGCAGCTTCCTGCTCCAATGGTCGCCGGTTTGATGGACGCACCGCGAGCCCTGAGGCTGAGGCTCCATGGCCCTTCCCATGTGTAGGGCGGCCAGTTCTCGCGTGCCAATGTCGAGGACCAGCTCTCCTGTGGAGTTTACTCACGGTCTCACATTCGCGCCTGGAAGCCTCTAGGCCATCTGTGTGGTTTTCTTTTTTAAATGGGTTTTGCACCCCAGGTCTTGGGCAGACATACATGCCCATCCTGTTTTTTTGCCTGATCAAAAGAATTTGTTTTGCTCAACCCCGCGGTACCGAGACACCATGAAAGCGGACGAATCAATTGGGGTTTTTTCTGATATATCGGGCGTTTTTTTTAATCGTCCGGAATGCTGGCGTGTGTAAGTATACGGTGGTGATGATGGGGCGAGATTTTGTTGGGGGGGGTGCAGCGAACGTCATCTACGCCTTCCTTGTAACCTGAACCCAACCTGAGCTCAACCTGACGGATTCCATCATGGGAGGGACGAAAGTGAGGATCATGATCCTCATTTGTCGACAGTGCGGGATGTACGATAAATAGGGGAGGGGGCAAGTTGTGCGGTCCCCGGATGGTCATTCCGCATCTATCAGCACCCTGGTGTCGCCGACAAAGCTGCATTTCCCGTATTACTCTGAAAGGACGGGGCAAGCATACCATTCGTTGTCGTCGGTTCACCGAAAGTGCCAGTCTTTTTCTCGTTCCATCCATCACCTTTTCCACCGTCATGGCTGGTGAAGCTTCTTCGTCTTCTCCCCCCACCAGCTTGGATTGTCCTCAGCCGGACTGTACTTCGAGTACGTTCTCCAACAAGTCCAATCTCACCAGGCACATCAAGTATAAGCATGGCCCCAAGGCGCGGATGGCTTGCGGGAAGGAGATAAAAAATCAGACCTCAAACATCAAGCGCCACGAGGACAAGTGCGAGGAGTGCAAGAAGCGCAAGAACCAGCCAGGCGCCACTCAGCCCCTCGCGGAACACGACGGCAACCGCGGCAGCTCCGTGTCTCATGGGGTGCTTTCTCAGGGTGAGGAAGCTTTGGTATTGGATGATGGACTTTTCGGGGGAGAACAAGATGTGCTGTTCGACCCGTCTCTCTGGGAGGATGAGGACCCGTTTCGTCAACAGCAGGGTGGGGCCGGTTTTGATACGTTGATGTAGGCATGCGGTTGTTCCGCAGGTAAGAGGAAATGGTCTCATGGGGAGATTGCAACTGACTCTTTGGAAAGTTACCAGGGGCTGAGTGATCCCCTAGGTACTATGAGCACGGGGAGGACAGCTTGTGTTTCGGCTGTCCCTTCAGCTCCGACGTTCTCTGCGTACGGGCGTTTGCATTTAGTGGCATATACCCTTCATGCAGTCATTGATGCTAGCGAGGTCTGGTTGATCGAGTCTTTCAAGGAAAGGAGTTGAGAGGCACTCAAAGGGACGATTTGGCGGCAGGATAGGTTTGGTAAGAGTGGGAGAAGCACGTGGCTGGGTTCGCACGAGGGCGGGAAAGCTATTGATGCATGGCGCTTGAGGCTAAACGTGCTAGAAGGCATCATAAAAACGCGGCTTGGGCGTCACTCATAGAACGTGGATTTCGTCTGGTGCGAATTCTTAGTCAAAAATTGTATCGTTGCCTTGGATCAGGGGCTCGACCTCCAGTTGCATCCCCTATTTCGCAGATTCGACAGGCGTATGCATAATTAATGATGCTTAATGTAGTCTCGTCCAGACTCGGAGATATTGATCGTCATGGACTATGTGCCATCTATTTTGTCTTTTGGGATCTATTGCCGTGCTGCAACGACCCGTCCTGCTCGTCGGTTCGCCACCAATTAATTAACTCTTCCTGTCTTACGTTATCAAGAGGACCAAGACTGTCGAAGCCCTTGATGCTGGTTCCCGCGTTTTCGTCATCCCAGACGTTAAATTAGTGTTGACAAACTAAAAAGCGATCCCTTGCTAGTGATCCACACAAATTCGGGCGAAGGGAAGGCAAGCCACAGCTCATGCGCGCCATTTGGTGCCGGCGCCATGGTATCGGGAGCCAACTTTGAATCTGACAAGCTGGCTACCCTAGGCTCGGAAATTGATATCCTTGGGAATTTGCAACGGCACAGGGCCGGGGTGCGATGCAGTATTTGTGACGAGACGTGTGTTGGTAAGCATATCACAAACATGACCAGGGCATGTTGAGCCAACTGAGGCGTCAACACAACATGCAAGCTTCGCGTCATTATCGAGGTTATGCCAGTGGCTTCCTACTTATCAGCCGTGGGCTGCTGTTCAATTAAGCTCTGCCGCTGACAAATTTCTCGTTTTCTTGCTCGCAGGAAGTGATCCGCAACACCAGGGATCGTTCCACAGGCCTTGTCAGGCTGGATAAATCAGATTGGCGGTGTACGACATCGCGAATGCTTGTCAGTCAGGCCAGGCATTGAACTCTATATTCCCTGTTACCCCTGACGATAACTTCGGCTTCGCTAAGGGTCGGATGGGCCCTTAGGCTATACGCTCCCGTCTTGCTCTTCACTTGGGTCAGTGACTTATATTAGTCTTTTATATATATTCAAGTGTTGAGAGAGTTCTGTGTCGAGAATGTGGCCATCTCGGGGGCTGTAAAGGGCTAATGTTATAAACTACAAACCTTGCAAGCAAAACGGCGACGACCACGGTGGGGCATAATAGGGGTTCTAGACCTATTATCGGCTTTTGGCAGAATACGTCGGGTATTCATATGCTTAGACATATACTGCCTGGTCCATTTTTGAGGCGAGTCTCTTTTGGCGAAAGGGATTATCTGTTGATTGACGAGGCCTTAAGCGAAATCTGTTTGAAGCCCCCTAAAAGCTAGAGGTTTGGTCACGACTGGAATCACGCTTCCATGACATTTAAAGCTTCTGGATATGAAGAAGGCTGGCAAAAGCAAGTCAACAACGTGGATTGTCTAATTCGAATAGCCTTCTTACCTCCTGTATAATTCTGTAACTATTAGGCACTAGGCATGAATGCACATAGAGGCGCACTCTCTCGGCTACATCTATACACTTTGCTCATCAATAGCCAGGTATCTGTATAAGTTGCTGGGGGAAATCGATGAGTCAGTTACCCAAAAAATAGACATTAGGAAAGAGGAGGAAATACCCTGAAGCGGGGTTTTATAGCACGTCGCGATCCCAGGGCTGAGATCCTTCCGGGCGGATCAAAAAGCACAAGAGATTAAGGTTGAAAACGAGGCGGACTGGGTGCATATTTCGATTCAGGCAGCCAAAGAGCATCGATATCCCGTGGGCCTACTACGTAGTAGACGCTCCTTCATTTACGTTCCGCCTCTGCCATGGTATGATGTGGCGGCTTAATTCTTGGCTTAAGTCGGTGTGAGGGTAGCCGGCATCGTATCTTCAGAGCTGGCTGGGCATCTTGCGCCCGCTCACTGATGCTATGCTGGAGACGGAATCCGTAGACAGCAGGCAAAGTAGTCGGCCTTGCGCGTGGCTGGACCCCTGACAGGTGTCATTTGGGTTGTGTGGAGACATTACAGACGCGTGCCACGGGAGGCCGTTTCTCTGGAGGTGTGTGAAATTGAGGACCAGGGCCCCTTGTCATTCGCTCCATTGCCGCCCAGTCACGAACGACACGCTTTCTTTTTCTTCCTCGAAACGCGTCGAGGCGGTGTGTGGAATGAAATGGACACGGAGAGGAAGAATTGCCATTAACTCTCGATTTCCAACTGGTTTCGTTTCTCCATCGGACCAGGACATCTTACAGAACCATAGTGCCAGAGGTTGAATTGAACCATTACGTTCCTCCGATCAGATAAAATCTTTACGGAGTAAAGAACCCCGAATCGAATATACTGACAGTCTGGGGGATCCCCAGTTCCACGTGGTATCCCTACCGGATCAGCCGTTGAGTTTGCCTGGCAGAGCAATTGGGAAATCCTTGTCTGGTTTCCCAATCCAGGGGACCGGGGAAGCCATCCGGCCAAGGATATGCGTTACTGCGTTCCGCGACGAACAGTATTGCAGTCGACGGAGACGCTCATCTTTAGAGAACCTGGTTTCTCCATGTGTTGAGAGCGTCGACCACAACTTCTGCTCAATACCCATGTCTACTGCATCAAAGATTAGTCCTTTCCTGGGTGTGTCGACTCATAGCCGCCTCTTCTGGCAGTCCAACTACGGCCTTAACGCACGGCCTGGGATTTGTTGCAGTAGCTTGACATGTCTGAATGCTCTGGGAATATCTGCAACAGAGATACAGGAAAAAAGGAAGGAAACGCTCTTGGAGAAAGACGATCTTCATGCGGTAGTGATGGCGAGCCCAATTGCTCTTGCTATGAGTGTTAAGGGTCTTAATCTCAGCTGTCGAGCCATGTGTAGTCATTCGTAACTGACACGATCTTGCCTTGTTTCGACATCATGCGGAGTTGGCTGCTGAACGCGACATTTCCCAGGATTCTAACTTCACTGAAAAGGCGACACGAATATTGGCAAGGTGCTCGGTGGTGCAAGATTATCCATATTGAGGGCACACCTCCCTCAGTAAGCTGAATTCTGGTGAGTGGGTCTCTATCAGCCAGCTGGTGGTGTTCGGCAGACTTGCTCCAGGGTGCCGAGACTCTGCCTTTGAGTAAGGGTGAGTAGGGTACATTTCGTGCCGGGGAAGGGCCAATCAACTTCAACCTCGTCCATGACCAGCAAACCAGGACTTTCGCGTACAAGCACTTTTGGAGAAGAGAATAAAAATATGTGGGACTCTTTGTACTATTTCACGTTACAATTAATGAAAATATCTAACATGCTCACGCCAGCTGTGTCATGACATGGCGACATCACCGTCGACTAAGCCTTGTTAACCGTCTGTGCACCCCACCGCTCCGAGATGGAATATGTGAATTTCATCTCTGTCAAGAGATTAACCCATGTCGGGGAAGGCCCTTGGCATAGTTAATCTATGAGAGTGGGTGCCGAGAGACTCAACAAGATCTAAAGCGCTGTACTGGAAAATGGCACAAACATAAAGAGGGCGTTCTCCCCCAGCAAACTTCATCTTCTTCTCCTCAGATTTTACCCTCTTCTCTAGTTGGGAAACAACTTCTAGCCTTTTCCCCCCCTCGTCCCGCCAGCACGACCTCTGCAGAAAGTCAATATGGCGCCGCCAGCTACCAACCCAGAGTCCTTCCCTCCGCCCTTGGGCTCATGGGCAACACAGCATGGTCTTCGCAGATCTGCTCGAGTCCACCACCAGAAATTTGGGAACAAGGAAATGCCTATGCCTCTTCAAAGCACTAACGACTTTTCCAACCACGTTGCCTCTGGAGCAGAGAGTAACTCCGGCCATTCTCAAGCTACGCATGGGGATGTTGCCGACCATCGAGCCCAGCTTACGCAAGAAGGGGAGAGCAGCTCCAGCCGCCCCGCAAGTAGAAGCACGAAACGGGGATCAGCTAGCCCCAGCGTCGACGACAAGGACAACAAGAGCGGTCGGAGCACTCCTGACACCGACACCGACGCCGACGCTGACAAGAAAGTCAAGTATCGCTGTGCCAACTGTGGTAACTGTGGCACCATCAACAACACAATCAACGGAGGCGATGTGAAGCAGTACTTTGGTTCGTGCCATCACTAGACCTCCTCTGATATCAGGGTGGAAGAATGACACATGACGAGGAGAAGAATGCGGACATGAAGGAAGTACGGCGAACGGGAAAACAGGCTTACTGGTGGTTTTCAACCGGACAAGGAAAGGAGTAGGTGGCAGGGGATGGACGACAGGCTGGTGCATCACGGGTAGACGAGTAGACGGATTTCCTTTTCTTTTCTTTTCTTTTCTTCTTAGACACTCATTTGCTTGTTCGCCTTTCGAGCAGCGTTGTACTATAAGATTTCTTCTCCGAAAACTAGAAAAACGAGGAATGTTGGCCGTTCCAGAGCTACTCTCAAAAAGCTGACCGTTAAGAGCCATGACTGATGTTGATCTGATATGGATGCCAAGAAATACTTTGGCAAAATCTGCTACTTGAGCGGTGACGTGGAAGGGACCTCTACGCAAAAGAAGAAGGGCCAAGTCTTGATCCACTAGGTTCTGTGAGGCCTCTCCAAAAACAGGCAGCTAGGCAGTAAGGCGTTCTCCTAGATGCTTCGCCGCGCTATGGTAAAGAGTCCATGTATGGGGTGCGACAATGCCACGTTAAGGCGGGGATGCTTTGGTTATGTTAGGTGCGACTTCCTTTCTTGTTACCAGCTGGAAGGTACAATACCGAATGCGATCCACTAAACAACCGCTTTACTTTCCATCTCACGTCCGAATGCATAATAGGCCTCCAGAGTATGCCCGTCTGATTAGATGAAAAACAAAAAAACCCAGCAGTTCGGCATCCCGGAGCTCTCGCCAATCAACCACTTGAGCGTGCAATTTCCGCTACGTCCGCTACGTAAGGTATTCATAGATGAAACAAATTTCTTCGTTTTGCAGTGGAAGGTACTAGAAGTTCAAGGTGGAGAGGGCTGGCAGGGCAATAAACAGGCACGAGAGAGGCAACTCGGGAGGGACCAAACCCCCTTGTCATGGGTTTGACGTCTGTCACTCCGGATTAGCGAGAGAATTGAGTCCTTGGACTCATTTTACGTAGAGATGCAAAGTGAAAAAAAAAAGCCTACAGGGGCTGAGCTTCGTTGACGGGCGTATTCTGCGTTGGCCCATGAGCTGCAAGACCCAAGAATAGCATTGCACAGGGGATGACCACTCCGCTAATTGCACTTTACACCGCTGCATTTTTTTTTCAGTTTTCAGATTCCGACGGAATGGTAGCAGGATTCTGGTACTCCTGATCAAGTAATTGTGCCGTCTGCAAGAGGGCGGAGCACTCGCTGCCTGTTGGTCAAACTGGCCGTGGTTGCAATACAGCACCAACAGACATTTTGTGGCAGCCCCAAAGAGGAAATTAACCCGCTATGGCGAGCCCCCAACCTTGAAGAGACGGAATTTTTCTCTAGTGCAAGTTTCCAGGCGACATTGAGGTGACGATCGCTATTAGACTTGCGCTCGGTTGCTTTTCAATTTCTTCAGTGTAGTACGATTTGAGCACACACTACTAGATTTGATGAAGCCCGGGAAACACCCAATGTCTAAAGTGAAGGGACGATGAAACTGGTGAGCTCACCTGAGAAACCAATCAAACATTTCTCAACTTAAATCCTAACTTGGGCTTTGATCAATTGCAACTCTGTTGAGGAGGATGCATCAGTCCAACGTCAAGGTGTGTTTGGCTCAAGCCCATGTTCTTGCTATTATAACGTAACTAACCTGTGTAGCGTAGCTTACCTAGCATCTAAAACCTGGTAATCTGTCTAGTACCTCAACAAAAAAACTGAACCCCGCCTAGTCAGATCAAAAAGAACAAGCGAATTTGGTTCCCGTGATTCGCAGGGTGGATGGGCTTATCTCTGCAAACACCCCTGCCATAGTTGTCTTTAGTAAACATGTATAGGCCCCAAACTAAGCAGAAACCACCAACCTCACTCATAGAAAATTGCGTAATACGTCCAAGTGGCCGGGGGTATTGAATTCTATCAAGCCACCGTCGCAACTAACTGCAAGGAGACAGGGGGCCACAGGGGTTAAGCGGTTTATGAATGGTGACAGTGTTTGATATACGAAGCCTATTGGACCCCGTCGTATCATGCCTGGAGTCCATAGCTTCTGGCAAGGGAGCGAGCAAAATTGGAGGAGTGAGGTGACTGAGCAAAAGCACGGATTCCTAACCGGTCAACGCTTGTAGGCATAACGGTCTCGGCGCGTAAGGAGAAGCCGAACAACGTACGTTCTGGGGCGAGCAGGAAATGAGCTGCGCAGATGCGCACACTTGCCACGCCTTCTGCGGTGAGTGTCCCGCTGGAGACTAGCTTCACGGCTACCAGGGTATGATAGGACAAGACGAGAAACCTGGCCTCGATGACTCATCATGGATTTTCGATGGTAAATTTCAGGATGGAGACTTGCAGCGACACACCTGATGCCCCGATGCCGATTTGGGCGGTCGAGCCCTACATTCAAGTCCCCTCAGCCTTAGTCTATTGCAAGAGTACCGTCATTTGCGTCCAAAAACATTACCAAGAGACACTTCCCGACCGCAAATGTACTACATTTACTCGGCAAAAAAACGGAAAATAATCATTTACATGGTAGAGCAGCCGTCAGCAGTTTAACACCTGCGCTATGATGTCGCAGCTCCAGGGATAAGATGCAAGTAGTAGATTGTAACTGATGGAAAACACTAGAAATAGCGCGTGAATCTATCGAAAAATATGGATGAATGGATAGATTGGTGATAAAATACATAGCACAAGCTTATGTTTGCCGTTTGAGGCTGCACAATGCCCCGGACGAGGCCTGAGGCATTGCATTTCGTTACAAGTTCAAGTAAGGTACATCACCTATATTCAGCTTTTTGCTTCTCAGAGTTGGTGCTATTGCTGCTTCTGACATCTATTACTTCAAGTTTTACAGTTGCCTACGCCTAAACTTCCTAGTTTACTATATTTACTCTAACGCTGAGATAGCGCTTCTGGCCCTATTTTCCTTCGTCGAAGACGATACTTCACAAGACGTGAATCTGGTTGATATCCCACGCTTGTGCTGTCTTATATAGCTTGCTACTGGTGCTCTTGATTTTGCTTTTGGTCGTAAAGACTGAAGTTGGTAGCGTCGGAATAAAGATGCGGACCAGATTGATAGGTAGCAGCCGGCGGACGTCGCTTGGGTCGACACGATTAGAATATTCGGATGACTTGGCAACGTCTTTTTTGAGCGCCTTTAATCGATCGTAGAACTGGTCGTACTGCGTTTAGACCTCTGAAGTAAATGTCTCGAGTCGCCAGGAGAGGTCTAGCTCCATACCGTTGTCATCAGAGTTACTAGAGAAATCAGAGTTAGTTACATCAATACTTGCTGGATGATGGTAGGTAGAGGTCCTGCGTTGGGAGTTTTGCCTCTGAAGCTGTACTACCATAGCCTCGGAATGCCTCAAAACGAAAGGCTGTAGGATAGTGATCTCTGGTGGGTCGTAATGCTCCCAAAGGTAGTAGGGCGGAATAGCCAGAGGCCAGAGTTCAGAGTCCAAAGGTCAGAAGTCGGCCTAATAATTTTCTGGCCATATCATTGGGGGGTGGGGGGGATAAGGCAAGGCGAGGACTGTGGACTTTCCTCATGCGAATAGGAAACACCAACACAGGCAGGTGCGACAAGGAGCCGCGAACCCGAATAGCTTACCATTCCATACCAAGTTATAACGGAAAGATTAAGAGAAAACGTTGCGCCGTCTAGTTACACAGAAAACCGTGGCGAATATTAATCTATTCTACGAACGGTTCTTCTGAGGCAACCTGACTGAGCCTCACCGAGCCCCACCGCGGTAAATGCAGTAAAGTCTCGGTGAGCATGAATATTGGTATCAGTAACCCAATCTCGACTTGGATAAGACGAAGAGAGGTGGTAAACTCACAGTTGACTGTCGTGAGCTAGAACAAAGTACAATTAAGGTGTTTCAAGAGGTTCAAATAAGGTCTTCCTTAGTATGGGGTTTCCCCGCTAATCTGAAAATACCTTTGTCACCGCAGCGGAGTAATTGGGTCTACTGAGACCAAGTGGGGATGGCCTTCTTAGATCGGATGACAGCGACAATGTGAATGGATGAAACTTCATGCGCTAAAAGTCGCCAATCGCATATGGCTGTCATGTGTTAGTGCTCACGATAGGGCTGGCTGGGGAAAAAACCGTCGCTCTATCCTTGAGAGTCTACTGCGTGTCAGGTATCCACAGTAGAGTGTTAGTTAGTAGTGCATTGATCCCTATGCAATAGCGACATCTACTGACAATCCAACACATACAAGGTCATAGGCAAGCTTCAGTCTGTCGGTCTGATCGAAAAGTGGGCAAAAAGACAATGCATAGCACCTAATCATTTAATGAGATTCATCATCCGAGAAGCGGGATTTGATGACATCCGACGCTCACTTCAGATGAGCTCCAGCTCCGTCCTTTTCCTCCAGGGCCTAGCCGCTTGATTTCCGGGAGTCGGCTTGTACTCTAATATTGGGTGGCGTTTGCTCTTCGTTTTTAATCGGCCGGTGCTAATGGTCCGGTCCCTTGTAGGTCTTCCGAGCATGGTAGATATTTGCTTTTTGAAGCCATTCTTCGGTTTCAAACGAGATGCTGGCCTTGATTACTCTGAGCATCCACTTCAGCTTGGATTGCGCATGTCTTCAATGAAAGAATGGCACCAGGCTGGCGTTTTTTGTTGTAGCACAACAGAGGGTGGCTGGCTGGGAGCCCGATAGGCTCGGTCTTTCCCACTACGTATATTACCAACATGGTGATGGGTAATATGGCTTTGGGTTATATTTCTTTTCTCTCCCGCGCCTCTCTTAACAACGTGTAAAACGTCGCCGAGGCCCACATTTTGTCGTTTTTATCGCACTTTATCGTTTTTATCGCCCTTCATCGTTTTTATCGCCCGTCATAGCGAATTCCGACCTCCCCTGCTTTAAAGGACTGAGGCACACCACCCACCATCTCGCTGGCTAAGACGCTAGCTAGTCAATTTTCCAATGTACTAATTCATTGCCATC